TGCGGTGGCCGGGAGCGGCCACTGCACTCCAGTCTGGGCAACCGAGTGAGACTCCAACTAAAAAAAAAAAAAAAAAAAGAAAGAAAACAAACGATAGACGCCGTGGAGGATGCAGAGAAAAAGGAACGCTTCCACACTGCTGGTGGGAATGCAAACTAGTGCAACCTCTTTGGAAGACAGTGTGGCGATTTCTGAAAGAACTAGAAATTGACCTTCCCTATGACCCAACAATTCCCCTATTGGTAATATACCCCGGGGGAACTCAATTCATTTTACAAAAAAGATACCTGCACATGCGTGTTTGTTGCAGCTCTAGTCACAATAGCAAAAACGTGGAACCAACCATGTTGCCTATCGAAGCTAGACTGGATTTTTAAAATGTGGTCCGTATACACAATGAAATATTGTGCAGCCGTGAAGACTAACATATGGACTTTGCAGCAACTTGGATGGATTTGGAGTCAATCATACCCAGTGATCTATTACAGAAACAAAGAACAGAGTACCATATGTTCTCACCCATAAGCGGACCTTGAACAATTATACTATAAGAAAGGGATTGGCCCTAGTGGGAAACTGCCAGGGAAAGGGAGGTGAGATTGGCAGTTGAGGGAAACTGCCAGGGGAGGGAGGGGCACACCTCATCCACAAGGGTCCCTGCATAATCAATGTTTGTATACTTGACCCTGAATTGTACCCCACATCTTTATAATAAAAAATAGTAATAATAAAGAAGTAAACAAAGTAAAGGGAGAAACTAAAAAAAAAGAAGAAAAGAATTCTAGAGTTCTGGCACATCCAGAATTTGCTGTTGCTGCTTGGAGCCCTGAGAAGCAGGTACCCGGGAAGATGAGTTTATGCGTCTAAAGCACATTTGCCACAGAGTGTGTTCAGCAGGACTGCAAGGCTTGGAGTGGCCGTCGCGCAGTTAGGGGCGGGTGTCTCTCCTACCAGAACGAAGGGGTGCCCGACCCTGACCGGGACCCCTCACTGGCCTGTCCAGGCTGGTTGGCAGCTTCTTCCCCCGCTCTGGCACCGCCACCACCTCAGATGACTCAGGTTTCACCATGACTACACCATAAAAGCAGAGAGCTGCCAGAAATTGCTGGAAAACAGGCAGGATCGGTCGCTGACAACTGGGCTTTCTAACTCATGGAAAAGTTTAGCTAGTGACATTCTCATGGGCAAAATGCAAGTGGAAAAGAGGTCTGCAAAAGGGTGTCTCCTGGCCAAGCTGTGTGCTAAAATGAGGCAGAAAGCTGCACCTAGACAGCTGTGGTTTCTGGAGTCAGGGAACTGGCTTTCCGCCCTTTCCTGTTCCACCCAGTCCCCTGCTGAACAGCTAGCTGGCAAAGGCCTCAGTCCCCTCTTGCAGGCTATCTTTAGTGGCGGCTTCCTGTACAGGCAGGACTCCAGCATGGTGAGTGTCGGAGTGGCCCTTGGGTGCAGCCCTGCTCCCCGACACAGCTGTCTCTGCTGCACTGTCTGCAGAGAGGAGGACCGGGGTCAAATGTGGACTCAGGACCATCTAAACCAGCGACGCTCACCCTCGAGTGTGTACGAGAATCGCCCTGAAATGCAGGCCCAGATTCAGCAGATCCAGGGTGAAGACTTCAGCAGACAGGACCATGCAGGTCTGTAAGTCAGCTGATTTACTCTGATGAGCAAAGGAAGTCAGGAGCTCTAAGAAAATTCTCAAACGTTCCTGCAGGTAGATCAGTAAAGTCAGGTTTACTTCGAGAGGCAGGCAGATATAAATGGGACTCCCGAAGATTCGTTGAAGCGCTGTCTTCCAAGAAGACTTACAGAAAGGCTTGGGATCACCAGTTATTTGCTACAATTAAATCTGTGCAGATTTTAAATTGATGCAACCTCCCTGTTTATGCCTTCCTTCTCACAATATACACTTGCTGGAAGGCTTAATTGGTGGGCGTGGTGGCTCACACCTGTAATCCCACACTTTGGGAGGCAGAGACGGGAGGATTGCCTAGCCCAGGAGTTCAAGACCAGCCTGGGCAACATGACGAGACCTTGCCTCTATAAAAAATTCTAAAAATTAGCCAAGTGTGGTGGCATGTGTGTCTATAGTCCCAGCTACCGGGAAGGCTGAGGCAGAAAGATCACCTGAGCCCAGGAGGTTGGGGCTGCTGTGAGCCATAATTGGGCCACTGCACTCCAGCCTGGGCAACAGAGTGAGATCCCAACTCAAAAGAGAAAGGAAGAAAGGCTTAATCGTGCAAAAATCTTGGCATATGGATTTGCATAGACAAGGCTATTACATGCCTGGTAATAAAAATGTGTTAAATGTGTTAAAAGGGAGATTCAAAAATGTTCATCTCAGAGTTTTGAGGTTTTTTAATTAAGAAAAACCGAAAGTCATCTGAGTATCTAACAAGAAGAGATTGGGTTTGTTGTATTTTGGATGTTTGGGCCCTAAACCATGCAGAAATTTGATCCCGGTATTGGAAGTGGGGCCTAACGGGAGGTGTTTGGTCCTGGGTGGGGTGGACCAGTACTGGTTTCTGGTTGTTCAAAAGAGCCTGGCATCTCCCCCTACCCTTGACTTCTCTTTTGCCCCAAGATCTGCTCCCCTTCCCTTCCACCATGAGTGGAGGCCTCACCAGAAGCCCAGATAGGCTTCAGAGACAGCCTGCAGAACTGTGAGCCAAGTAAACTTCTTTTTTTTAATGTTACCCAGTCTTGGGTGTTCTTTATAGCAACACAAAACAGACTACAAGCTAAGACAGGGTTAAATGGGCTGGGCGCAGTGGCTCAAGTCTATAATCTCAACACTTTGAAAGGCCGAGGCTGAAGTGGGAGGATCACTTGAGGCCAGGAGTTCAAGACCATCCTGGGTAACAGAACAAGATCCCATCTCTGCAAAAAAAAAAAAAAAAAAGGAGGGTTAAATAAATTCCAGTACATCCTTGCAACAGGATATTGTGAAATAATTAAAATTACGTTGCTGTAGCCCCAAGGCCCAAATTTTACTTTTATGCAGCCTATTTAAGTAGCAAATCCTCACTTGTACCCCAGGATGCTAAATTAAAATGATAAATGAAATCTGTTAAAAAACAAAAAAGATACACCGGGCTCAGTGGCTCAGCCTGTAATCTCAGTACTTTGGGAGGCCAAGGTGAGTGGATTGCCTGAGCCTGCAATTTCGAGACCAGTCCGGGCAACTTGGCGAGAGAGACCTCGTCTCTACAATAAATCAAAAATTAGCTGGGCATGGTAGCACACGCCTGTAGTTCCAGCTACTTGGAAGGCTGAGGCAGAAGGATCGCTGGATACCAGCAGGTCGACCCTGGAGTGCCCGTGAGTGTGTCACTGCACTCCAGCCTGGGTGAACAAGTGAGACACCAACTCAAAACAAATAAATAAATAAAAATTAAAAACAAATAAAATAAAATTATGTTGTTGGATTGGAGTCTATGTCATCACCTAGAGACAGATATTCATGAGATGTTATTGGGAGAAATTCTGTTTTATAAGACAGAGCTAAGATGTGGCTCCATTTTTATAAAAATAAAGCGTGTTGATGTACACTTGTACGTTATATTCGTTGAAGAAAGACTTAAAGGGTATTCACCAAAAACGTTATCAGTATTCCGGTGATCGCGTGTATCTGTCAAGTTTTCTACAATGAAAATATATTTTCCTTTAAGAATAAAACAGCAGGCCGGGCTCAGTGGCTCACCCTGTAATCCCGTGCCTTGGGAGACCAAGGTGAGCGAATTGCCTGAGCCCGCAGGTTCAAGACCCGCCTGGGCAACTTGGTCAGACCTCATCTCGACAATAAATCAAAAAATTAGCTGGGTGTGGTAGCGCCCAGTGGGTTGAGGCTGCGGGTCGAGGCTGCGGTGGCCGGCAGCGGCCACTGTACTCCAGTCTGGGTGACAGAGTGAGACTCCAACTCAAAAAAAAAAAAACCCAGCAAAAATCATATTGTTTTAGTAAATCGTTTTTAAATGGGCATCTTAGAAGCTGTTTTGAATAGAGTTTATGAATTTTGATACCAAAAATACCATGTAGGTGCCTTGAGGAAAATGGAATTGTCTTTGGGATGAGTCCTGAGCGGCCTTTCGGGTGGGCTCATGGGGGAAGCCGAACCCCTGTGAGTGAGGCAGGCCCTCAGTCATCATGGGGCTACTGGGGTCTGCATCTGGTGAGGAACCTAGTGTCACTAAGCTGTGTCACCAGCCCAATGTGGACAAAAGCGAGGAGAAATGGTAGGAAAGTGGATCCCACGTGGGCCTTGCCACCCCCAGTCTCAACATCCCAGGACCCTGCAGGGAAAGTTGGAGTCCTCTGTCCAGAGCTGCTTTCCAGGGCCCACGCCTCAGGGAAGATGACAGAGACAAGCCTTTGAGAACTGGGTGCTGCAGGCCTGCTGGTCACCGGCAGTCAAGGGTGAATTAGCACAGTGTCAGCCATGTGGGCCGGTGTCCCATTGGCCTCGCACCCAAGCCACCTTCAGAGAACAAGACGTACAGTTTCTACTCACTGCTGGCTTCCAAATTCAAAATGTCTCTCCCAACCAGCACCAGCTCAGAAGTACGCAGGGAAGAGAACTCCGAGAAGGTTAGCTCCATCTTAGCTAAGGACAAAGGACAAAGCCCAAAGTCCATGCCATGTCAATTTGTCATCCATATATACCCCATCTAACTGTATTTAACTTCAAAAAATAAGAGGAAAGTCGCCCTCTTACCTAACATGATAAAACACCTTAATCCTCTCTCCAAAAGAAAATGCCAAGTTCCTTTGTCCATCTTTGCCCATGTCATGCCTTTTCTAGCTGAATCACACTCTCCCTTTGACATCTCAGAACTCAGGTACTGAGTAGAAGATTGACACTAGCTTAACTAGGAATGACGGAGAAGGGAAAACGTTGGCTGATGATATATACACAAATGTGTGTGTATCTGTGTAAGAAGAAAACACTAACCATGACAGACAGGCCATACTTCTGCTACGTCGCATACACGGGTTGTGGATGGCATGGTGGAGTGGCCAAATCATTGCTGCAGACCATAAGCAGTCTTCCCTGTATCGTAGAGCTGGTTCTGTTGACTTCAGTCACAAGAACTGAGAGTACTAAGAGACACCCAGTGTTGATCTGGCTTCCCAGAAACACCCTCGCTCTACCGTGTGGTGGCAGCCCTGTGCCAACTAGAAGCACTCTACAACGCCAGGCAGCAGAGTGGCCCATAAGAATAATAATGAGGCTTGTTCTTAAGACTCTGTATGAGAATCCAGAATGGAACATTAGTATCATTTGTGCAATCAAAATATCAAACGAGTGAACATGGACTAAAAACATTGGCAGGCGAGCGTCCACAGGGACCCAATAAACCCACGTTCCCAGCACCTGCATCCGTGGGGTCCAGGTCTAGATGTGTCCTCTGGTCCTGCAGTGGGGCTGCCCAGTGCTCCAGGCTGTGAAGCCCTGGAGGGTCGAAAGCAGGCCAGCGGGTCTGGAGGTGACCTTGCATCCCACGATCACCTACAGGGAGAGCTGAGGAGACATGGCAAGCAGTGGAGTGGGAGGGGCAGACAGCTTTTCTCCCATGACCCTGGCACCAACCACACAAGGAAAGGAAACCAGGGACCACAGGGACAGATATCCCCCACAGTGTTGACACTCACTGTGGCCTTGTGGGACCTCGCCCTGCAGGATCCCTGGAAGCACTGGTGTGGGGTTAACAAGCTGAGCCACAGAGAGACTGCCCTGGTCTCTCTACTCACCTTTCCAGGGCTCTCCCGGCCAGCCGTGCTGGACTCCACCTTCGCGGGGGACACCAGTGCTGGCCCCAGGTTGGGTGCTGCCGGCCCTCTGCTAGCCACAGACCTGATCACTCTCCTCAGCCACAAGTTCCAGGGAGAAAGGAAGCCCAGCTGGCCGTGGAGACTGAAAGAAGGCCTGCCTCTCACACCCGCCTTGGGGAACCATGGGTCAGAGGACACTCTGACTCTCCCTCCAGCTTGAGCCCTCTGCCAGCCTCTGCAGAGGAGAGAGAGGCTCCTCCCAGGCCTCCGGGGTCTCTGACCTCAGGGACTCCCTCCATG